TAGAAAACAATTCACCCGAACACATCCCAGCATCACCATGGTCACGCACTACAATCCCATGCAATCCCGACCTACACGGTGCGATCATGTGATTGCCTCTGCCACATCATTCTCTTTCACAAAGATAACAGGCGAGAAGAGGTGTGATGTGTGGGTGGTTGGGAGGACATATAGCGTGTGAGATAGGATAAGTATTATAAATATACAATTTATTGTAAAGTTTTAATTTTTTCAAACTTATCCTATCTCACACTATTCATCTATCCCCTGGTTGGATGGTGGGGTGCAGATACCCTAGCCTGTAAAAGAGATGTCACGGAGGTAGTAGGAACCGAAGGCCGTATTAGACTTCCAGAAGCAGCCTTCCATAATGGCGGAGTGAGAGCAGTTGCTATGAAGGGACGTGGTAGAAGCGACTACAGACGTGACATGGGAAGGAATTCCAGCAAAAGTGAAAGCCTAAAGGGTGGTCGAGCGAAGCCAAAATGAGATTGTATAACAGGAAACGTGGCCGCCGTGGAAAGTGGAAGGAAGAGCTCTTCCGGATTCTTCAACAAAGAAGTATGTAGCACAGCTTCAAAGTAGATATAAAGTGCTCAAACCGGACATAAAGGGTGTTCTCACGGTCAGGATGGCTCAGGATGGACGCCAGCGCCGATGGTAAACAAACCATCTGATTGGCCCGGAAGCTGACTTTTCACGATAAGGTCTCAGGAACATCTTCCTATTCTGTAGTCTCTCAAACTGGAGCCTGTTAACACCCAGGGGATGGATTTCGTTAACCATTGCAGCAGACGCAAGGGCCGGGAGAAAAATGTTCTTGAAGGTGATCAACTCAAAAGGCTTGTCAGCATATTCTGCCAAAGTCAAATGGCGGTGGATGACGCTAAGATCAAAGGACGAGGCCGGAAACGAGATGACTGGTCCACCAACTTCTCGTACTGAATGAGGGATTGATCCTCAGCAACTGTAGATACCTTCGATTAAATTGTAGTAGCAAAGACTGAGTTGATCACAGCAAGATAAGTAGCTAAAGGAAACAGTGGTGAAAGGAGTGATGTCACCTTCGCAACAGTACTCTTTCGGAATACCCTTTAGTGACGAGTGACCGGTGTGGATGAGCCAAACGCAAAGATGGAGCGTGTCTGGCGACGGGTGGAGCAGCTGGGAAAGAGGCTGAAGAAGAAGGTCATCAGACGATGGAACCATCTTTCTCAGTAGGTCCAACATGGGACTCCAAGATGGCCAAAAGGGCGCAACCAAAAGCAGAGTCAGGAGACTGGTGGATGCCACTTTCTGCTTGACACAGTAGAACATCGGTTGGGGAAAGGCGTTGGCGTAGGCCTCCCCATGAGATCATCAGAACATCGTGATCCCAGACTTGAGGATCGAGGATGGGAGCGTAAACCAGTGTAGCTGAGCATTGAACCAGGTTGCAAACAGGTCGACATCTGGACATGCGTAAAGTTGGCATATCCACTAGACGATCGATGGGTATAAGAAACCATTCTGTTGGAGACGGTATCTCTGGTCAGGATAGGGAGTCAACAAAAGCAGGAAGTCCCGGGAGGTCACACCAGAATGCCGAGTGAGTCGATCAGTTGGATGTCAATCGAGTGCCACAGGAATGACATCGATTCAGTAAAGCCCATATTGATATACTAAACGACAAGATCTTGTCCGACTAGATCATGAGATTCGAAGCATGAAGGAGCTCTGCCCAATGGGACATCGTCAGAATAACCGCTTTGAATTCGAGGTTGTTGATATGGAGGTGCTTGTCTTCGACGGACCAACGCCTGCCACATGTAGAGTGTTTAAGTGTGCTCCCCAACCCACGGTTGATGCGTTGATGAAGAGATATAGGGTCGGGACGAACGAAGGCAAAGAGACCCTGGCCCAAACATTCGATGTTACTAGCCACCACTGAAGATGTGGATGCAGGTAGATCATCACGGAGAGCATGACCTGGCTATCGTGACTACGGATGTAGGGCATGAGGAAGCACTGAAGTAGCCGGAGGTGAAGTTGATCCCTCATAGAGTGAGTTTGCGCCGATGTCAGAAGGCCCAGGAGCTGTTGGTTTTGGTGTAGAAGGAGCGGCTGTCTGAGTGCCAACGGCATGAGACGTTGTGTCTTAAGCCACTAGTCCGGAGAAACGAACATCTTGCCGAGTCGGGTATTCAAGAGCGCCATGATGATCTGGAGTGGGAGTCATCTCGGACTTGCCTATGTTAACGATACAACGAGTTGATGGAAAAACGTTTGGTAAACTCGAGATGGTGCTCAAGGACGCCTGGCTCTGCATTGGCCTGAATGCAGTTGTCCATATTGGAGTCGAACACGATCCCTCGGATGTGCAGGAACTTCGTGATGGGCTTGGTCAACAATTAAAGGACCACAGGGCCAAAGAAATTCCAAACGGGAGCAACTCCCATTGGCAGTGGCGTCCTTGGAAAACAAAGCGATGAATGGGAATGTGCAAGTGTCCTGGAGGTCGAGGGTGACCTTGAAATCGCCGGAACAAATGATCGTCGTGAGAAGCGTGATAAACTTCATACGAAAATGTGGCGCATGTTCTAGATACAACAACATTATTTTGAACATCATCATGTTGAAAATAAGGTGGAGCTTCAGTCTTTCTTCTTCGGAACCAGAAAAATCTGCGAGTAAAACCCTGGAGTCTCGAGGACTGGACCTATACACTGTAGTGTGGCGGACGGTCTAGTAGTGCTCAAGGGGTCGATCAACGTCTTAGTCGAGGCAGGTCCGGCCAAAGCGACTGTTGCAATCACCATCCGATCGTCGAAGTCAGCTGGCCGTTACGATGTAGACGTAGACCCGGACGCTTCAGGGACGGACTGTTCTTGATCTGGGACTAGTCAGAAAGCTATCTGATATCGGTTACCGAGAACGCAGGCAAGTCGAAATCGGAAGGTGGTTTGACAGTAACAGACGGCTTGGATGATTTCTTAGGCTTCTTTGCAGGCGACGGTTTAGGATTGTGCGAGTCTCGTGTGGTGTTCGCATTCTGAACAGCGTCTGTCCAAATTACACCGGCCAGGCAATCACAACAAAGTTTGTGAGGGTCAGAGGCAAAATTTCGCCGACATTTCCGACAGGCCAGGCGAACAGGACTGTCCTTGTCCACTATCCCTGAGGAACGTAATCTAGATGATGTTGAAGTAAAACCAGCAAAAAACAACAACTAGATTCCTCTCAAATCTCAGTTCACGTCTCCACAATGTAGCGATGAGAAAGAGAATGATGTGGCAGAGGCAATACCGATGATCGTACTCTGTAGGTCATTATGCACGGGATAACAGTGCGTGACACATTTGTTTGGGTGGTAATACTGGGATGTGTTCGGGTGAATTGTTTTTAGAAGCTGAAAACTTTGTTCAAGCACGTTTCCACATAGGATCGAAAGAATAAGAAAAAAATGCACAATGTGAGGTAGGATAAGTTTTAATATTTGTATGGTATAACACCGTTTTTAACAATATTCTATGCTTTCCACGTAGTTGTCTACAAGAAAATTAAATGATCCCATAACAAATGTAAAACCTTGAAACGTAACTTCTCCCTACCTAACACGCAGGTACGTTTCACCATCCCTTGCAATGGCGATTTTGAATGTAGTTCCGTGCTTGCAAAATCTTAAAAAAACCATGAACCAAAATAACAAAAAATATTTGAGGTCAATAAAAGTCTGTATCATACATTTGGATATAAGTATATACAAAATCAACTTCAACAAAACATATTCATCAACTCCACAAGACAAGTAGTTAGAAGCGGTCGTCGAATACATGCTGGTCAAGTAACAAAAATGGCGCTTGTGAAACGGCCTCGGATTTTATCAAAGAAAAGAAATTGAAAATTCCTATAAAAAATAATCATGCTTCATATTGTTGGGGGGAAAAAGAAATTGTCTGCCACAAAGATTATGTTGTTGCAATGTGTTTTTAGAAAAAAAAATATTTTGGCTCTGGTTTTGCAACTGCAGCTGAAAAAATATCCAGTCCCCACACAAAATTTCAGCTTCCTCCTAATGAATATCAAATGGTCGCACCCTCACGTTTACAACCACGTGGTGACTGTCGTGACGCCGAATACTTTTACTGCAGCTACATTATGTTGTTTGCCTGTCAAAGTTGAATTTCTGTTTCATTTCAACTATCATGGAATTGGTATATTAAGAATGTAAGTGGGAACAATATGACCAAATAAACCGAACGTAAATTCATAGTAAGTCAGTCGAAATATTCTAGTATGCTATGATGGCATTCCAAAAAACATTGGGGGGTTTGAGGGCAAATGTCAAGATTCTTGTAATAGTTGCTTCATCACTGATGGCAGCGATGTTACCGAGAGTGTCACGTGATGGGAAAGAGCTTGGACACTCACAATAATGGGGTACGCTTTGCTATTTGCGGTAAGGTAACTCTTGTAAGGCAATAGTTCCGTCAAAATATCACTTTTCTCAACTTCAGAAAACTCATTCTTTCACACTAAAGTATCTAATAGATGATATAACTCGCGAAGTTTTATGGCTTGTTACACATATTTAGAGAGCTGAATGATAAATAAATGCGTTTAAGAGATTGAAGATGTCTCCGGTGGCCCATACCCGCCACTGGTGAAATCATTTTTCACTGTATGCCTCTATATTTTGTCTGGCGGCCGCCAGATACTTCCACTGGTGAGATCATTTTCCCCTGTAAACCTCTATATTTTATCTCACCAGTGGAAGTATTTGGCGGCCGCCAGATAAAATATAGAGGCATACAGTGAAAAATGATTTCACCAGTGGCGGGTATGGGCCACCGTAGATGACCTTGTATCAATAATTGTTTGAATAGCATAACATGACATATTTACGCGAGCTTTTGAAAAGAAGAGATTTTGCCCCATGTCATGCTTTAGTAATAAACCCGTGAAGAACCGGGTTAGAATAGATCAATATCCAACGCATGACATGAGGCGACCATGCTTGTCGCGAGAGGCGACTGACAGGGTCGGGTAGCCATGATCCTGACATGGTTAATGCGTCCTTTTATACAGTACACTGACACTGGGTGTGGCATTATATCTTGTAGATGCTATTTTTTTTGCGTTACAAGCCCCTGTGTTGGGCCGCACAGTTTTAAGAATGCACCCTCAAGATACTTGCACTAATCGACCCGTCTTTTTTTTAGCAGAAATGGCAGGGTATGTGTGCAACATCTCCTAGTTACCGAGGCCCATCCCGCTACACCTCGGCACACCTCGGCACACGCCATTGAGGCTTCGATTGTCCTCGTGTGAATGGAGTCCAGTGGGGCCCGCGATTAGAAAAAAAGAATCGACCGAACATCCACGAAGTCCGACTCAGTGGCCTGGAACAACTGGAGATTAAACTCACTCCGCTTCTGGAACCGGTGATATGATCGTTGGAATATTCTCCTGGAAACAGGTACCGTGCGTTACATCTTTCTTGGAGACAATCATATTCATGATATTGCTAGGGTATAACTAGGGCCGTATAAGTCAGAGTTTAGTTATGGTCGGCACAGGGTGGGAGTCATAGATAATTAATTAACCAGGGAAGAGTGTAATATTCATGTTTGTGACCTAATTAGAAGTGAATACATGCATGTGCATACATGTGTTACCACTGTGTACAGCTTTGCCTACAAGTATGGGTTAATTGACTTGTCTGTGTCTGTGTGTGAGCGTGCGTGTGTAAGTGTATGTGTATATGTGCGTGTGAGTGTGATTCCTCTTCCATCATCAATCTGTCGTGAGTTTCCTTATCGAAAGCTATGTCGATTTATTCGACATAGCCCTACCGATACAGTCAGACGCCATGTTTGTTTACGTTAGTATGCCAAGTTTGCAGTTCCATTGGTTAATCCGCACCACGTGACGAAACAGTACATTTCATTGTAGACCATCTGGTCTTTGTTTTCGCATATTGACCTCGTCAAAAGTAATTATTTGTATAATATATCAACGTGAATGATAACGGCCCGTCGTTAGGTGAAATGAGATCATTATGAAATAACCGTGGTTCGCACTTTGCCTGTCAAACGTACGGGTCGTTTTATGATAATTCGACAACGACAAACGTTAGAAATTACATCTCGCGTTGTGTGTATGCTTGTTGATTATTTAACCTCCGTCTCCGGCAGGTTCGAGCCCCTATTTGCAGTGTAGCGCGGGCTACAGGCCCCGAACACTCACTGAATATAAGCGTGTGTTTGTCTTGATTTATTTGACTAGCATATATGCGTGCCTCCCCTACTATCACGTTCCACCTTGGAGTAGCTTACCCACAAGGCTATGGCCATCATGTGAACATAAAAAGCGACAAAACCCAGGATTGAGTCCGGGCCTCTCGATGTCCTTTGTGTCTGAGCGGCAAACAACAGGGCTATTGAAGTAGGTCAAAGATCGTAGGAATGTTCCCCTGGAAACGGGGGGTGGTGGGGGTGGATGGTGACAGGGGTGTACTGGGATTTCGTATCGAAAAACCAAAACCAGATATATATTTTTATTTTAAACTATGAGCCTGAATGTTTTAAAAAGAAAACACCTTGCAACAATGTATTTTTTGTGGCGGGCATCCTCCCCAATTTACAAAACAACATAAGTCGCACTAAAGATTTGTACATGTCATCAAAAATGTTATTGTTGCAAAAGGCCAGCAGACCCAAAGGACATAAGCATATTACAATCCAGAATACATGACATTACTATATGACGTACCCTTTCTTATCTCAAACATTCCTTGTAAAAAATTTACAAAATTCACAAACTGTAATCATTTCGTAATGTACATAAAGATATATCATGAGACATTCTAGTAGAATGTGCTTGAGCATCAGTTAATATTTCAACTGACAGGAGGAACACGAACTAATTATATGCCTTCACCCTCAGTTGCTTCACAGTCTGTATACAAAACTTCCGGATCAACAATATCATATTCCTCCTTCTATGATCTTGAATACCAAATGAATTGAATCAACTCAACTTAGTAAATGCCCTTCTATATTACAATTAACTAGATAATACTCAAAATCTAAATACAGTAAACTACGGTTATAACGAACTCAAAGGGACTACTAATTTTAGTTTGTTATAACCGTAGTTCGTTATAAGCATATATACAGCACAACTACAGCAAATAGTCGGGACCAAAAAATGAATTTCGTTATATCCGTCAGTTCGTTATGAGCGTGTTCGTTATAACCGTAGTTTACTGTATATACGATTAGATATACCATTCTAAACAGGGATACTTACTTAAGCTTATACGGCGCACTACATAACCCTTTGTTTAAAATAGATGTAAACATTCTCGTTACCAACCTGTGTGATCCACAACATGCCAAAGCTATTCTCCAAGAATAATGTTTTGACTTGGCTTTCCCTGTTTTGATATCCCCTCTAACACAAATATGGCAACATTAAATAACACTGGTGTGGGTATCTGCTGTGACTTAATATAGTTAACTTTATCCAATATCTAACAAAATACACTGTATTAGTGGATATCTTATACACATCCCATATAAATAAGAGAAGTCGAACATCGAATAAAATAATTCCTTTTAACTTTGCACCATTTAAATATAGATTGTCAATGCAAGAGAATAACCAGTCTAGATTATCCGCCAAAACAGATTCTACAGGCCAAAATAGCTGTGAAAATTATATGAATGGACCACTGGAAATCATCGATGACACCAGGTGTTCGCTTAAGGTTAAGTACACTGTATGTCCTGCCCTACCGGTAGCAACCGCCATTCATATAATTTGCATAAGTATTTATTGCCTGAGGCCGCAGAGCAGTACTCCTGTCATGCGACGTCAGCATGTAAACAAACCAGACAATCAAGTTATCGATGGACCAGAAACTCATGTTTTGTTTGTTTGTTGTTTAACACCGCATTCAACAATATTCCAGCTATATGACGGATGTCTGTATTTAATCGTGTCTGGACAAGACAATCCAGTGATTGACATGATCATCAATCAACGCAATTGGGATACGATGACATGCATCAACCAAGTCAGCGAGCCTGACCACTAGATCCCGTTAGTCGCCTCTTACGACAAGCATTGTTTCCTTTTACGGTGTGCATGGGTTGCTGTAGACCTATTCTGACCCGGATCTTCACGGGTATCACGTAGTGCATATACTGTTTTTTTTAAACTAATAAAAACGATATGATAATCATGAATGACGCCTGCTGCTTGTCCTGCACCATGACTGTGGGACTATATTTTTTAGGTATTTCTTTTTTTACTAAAAGCCTAGGCAAGTTTAGATCAAACTAACCAAGTCTAGTTTTCTTGATTCCACAGCAGAAGAGGATTATTTTGAAGACATGTTTTCATTGACTAACTGTTAGTCTAGCCTGCTGCTTACATGTAAAAGAAAAAAACGTTAAAGAAATATATTCGTTTTGCAACACAGTGAGGGGCCGTTAAATCCTCAATTTCTCCCAACTGTAGGGGACATATTGGAATATTCTCTAAAAGAATACATTGAATGCAACTTTTATAGGGATATTAAATTTCCTTATAACTGATTTGACTGTTGTATTCCTAGCCTGTTCATATAGTACCTGTCATGCCTTGTATATTATAGGTGCTACAATCAGTCACATCATTTACTAAGCATTTGCAACCTCTAACTGAATATCACCAAATTTCCATTACTCATATCCTGAAAGATTCCATTTGTTTCTTTAAACTAGTATCTAACCTCTAAGCGGGGTGTTGGGGCCGCCTTGTGGTTGAAGGGTTTGTTCATCGGGCGGAAATCCCGGTCCACGGACTATATCAGATGTAACAATAAGCTCATCCACAAATAATTGAATATTTTTTTCACATTTCTTCAGATAAAAATATTCCATCTTCAAAAGATCTTTTCGAGTCCAACGCTAATAAAAAGGGTAAAAACGTAACAAACTTCATTCTCAGGTACTACTGAAATAAACTGCTAATTAGTTGCCATTATTACACACAACCGATATTTGTATTTGACAAATATATTGTTTTATATTGAAAAGTTTTCCATGGATTCCATTCTGTAATAATAAACTGAAGGCAAAAGAGAGCTTACTGAGTTTGTTTTCCATGTAATTGAAAAAAAGAAATAACTGTTGTTAAAGTTGATTATGTCTATTTAACCATCACTCATTCCTACAACAGTTTGTAAACAGTAATCTGTGGCTGGGTAATTTTGTGTAAAAATAAATTGTTTCAAGGAAGACTGGGTAAGAAATGAATTTGCAAACTATTTGTGCCGAAAAAAGCAAATCTATTGATTTCCACAGATGAGATGTTCTAAAATATACCCATCGGCAGTTGTGTATTATGCGATTTTTTAAAAAAGTATTAAATGTTTGTTTTTTAAATATCTAAATTAAATTTAACCATGTATTCTTCGAGTAAGGACTAAGCGCCAGTACAGTTCAAGGTTATTATTTAATAATAGCCCTAACTGAAGATATTTTCAGTGGAAACATATTCTAAAATCAATGGTATAGTTTCTTTTGTTCCTCAGTTTAGACGTTTTCATTGCAGACCTGTGAGTATTCCTGAGTAGAATAGGTCTTAAGCAACCCATGCTTGCCACAAAAGGCGACTGTGCTTGTCGTTAGAGGCGACTAACGGAATCGGGTGGTCAGGCTGGCTGACTTGGTTGATGCATGTCAATCATATCCCAATTGCGTGGATCGATGCTCATGATGTTAATCACTGGATTGTCTGGTCCAGATTCGATTATTTTCAAACCGCCGTCATATAGCTGGAATATTGTTGAATGCGGCGTTAAACAACAAACAAACCAATATTTCTGTCCATCGAATGATGTTCTAAAACTCTGAAGGCGCAATAGGCCCTAAAATCGATCGCTACTCATCCATGAATTCGACCATCCAACCTAAACATTTCAGTACTATCGTACGGTTGGGCGTACGACAACACATGTTATGTATTTTCTACACTTTATTCCATGAACGAAGCCGAACTGACGAACCTCGTCCCGGGCTAGCTAGATGACCCTTCCCGCTGACCTTAAGGTGTCTTCGTCCGGTCATTCTGCTCCATAGAAATGACATTTGTTTGTTTGATGTTTAACGCCGCACACAGCAATATTCAAGCTATATGACGGCGGTCTGTAATGCTCTCAATGCTACTATTGACTAAGTTAGGTATGGTATGCATAAATGCTGAGCTTTCAGTAGTTTATTGACCACAAAAAGAAAACATCTCGAGTTATATAAGTTTCTGCCAAATTTCTCGACACACAACTTTTGGCACTGCAGCTCTATATTTTCTTTATCATTTTATCATTTTTCTCATTCGAGCAAATTTCTTTGTTACCTAGTGAAAAAAAATCTCTTAAGTTCATTAATTTCTCAAAATTAGCAACTTTCGGTATAATTAATTATAAACAAAAACCATCTGAATCGTAACATCATCGATTGGATGAAAGTTGTACGATCGTGGCAACGGCGGTAAACAAACAACTCCACATGCACCGTGATCCCGTAATACTATTACAATCCTTTTTATATAATTATCTAAATTGATTTTCTAGAACTATTTACACTGATGTATAAATCTTTGTAAAAAATATCTCATTTTATCGAGTTTGCAAATGTTTTCGTGTGATGAACTTTCGGCCATTCACTTGCTGTTGATAAGCGAAGTGACACGTTTGGGCGTGGCCTAACTCGCGATTTCTTTAGTTGAATAAAGTCAACAAACACTGCGAATAATGATAAATAATAATCTGAACCGGTATACATTCTAGGTAAACAGTTTCCTCAATAGTAAAATAATGCAGATTACGAAAACAAATCTGAAACCGGAAGCACTTGACCGCCTCCGTGGTCTTGTGGTAGAGCGTCCACCCGGAGAGCGGAAGATCCGGGGTTCGATTCCCGGCCGCGTCATACCAAAAGACGTTAAAAGATGGTACTTGTTGTTACCCTGTCTGGCGCTCGGCATTAAGGGGCTCGGAGTCAGTATACTGTGTCTGAGTGGGGTATTCATGTTAAACTGCGGCATGGTATCTCAGTGAGCTAGCACTATAAATCGGCATCAGTCCGGACTAGTACAAGCAGCCACACAAACACATACACGTACATGCACGTCGCTATATAAGTGCAATAATCTTGGACGCGACGTTAAACCCAATTTCACCTCACCTCACCGGAAGCACTTAACGCATGTCACACATCGAGGCAAAATATGCAAAAGTTGTTAGCTATCATAAAAAAAATATCAGACATAGATTCCAATTCAAAAGAAATTACATAATTTACTCTTCATCGTCACCTGTATACTATTTATTGGCCTGGCTAGCAGTCTTCATTCCTATGTTTCATATTTTGTCCTGATTGCCGCATGTATCTGAAACCGTAATGGTTTTAGTATTATTTTCTCAAAACGACGGCAGCGGGGAAGGATATAACATATTGAAATGCTATAATAATAATAATATTGTAATTGGTCTGTCATTGCAAGAAGGACAGTGTAGACTATTAAGGATGTTTACACACACACACACACACCCCCCCCCCCCCCCCCCCCCCCCCCAGTCTTCAGAACGGATGAAACTAAGCACAGGGCGACTGGAGGGATGTAGAAGGGCCTAAGTGATTTTGTACCCAAAACAAAATTGTACCCAAACTACTTGGTGATTTTGTACCCAAGTAAAATAAAATATATCTAGATAATTATTTATTTGTTTTTCGTGTTTATTGCAAACAATGAGCAGAACGTTATGATTAAACATTTCATCAATTTCATAATATTCATGACTAACTGTACGTGGTCCTTGAATGAAATCAGTTGACACTGGCAAAACTAAAATTGATTGTTTGGTTTTGATAGAAAGTGACATCTTATCACTGAAGAAGAGGCCAGTTAAATTGTTAAACCCTAAGTTAATTTTATTGTTTTGATAGGAAAGGGATAATAAATTAAATTTTTGATACTAAAAGTAATGTGTATCTTTGAAAATAATACAAACTTATTCTTGGTACAATATCGCCTACCGGTTTGGGTACAAACTCCGAAAAAATTTAAGGTACTAAAATCACATTTTAACTGGATTTCGTGAAATGGTGGTATAAAAAACTAATTCTCGTCAGTAGAATTCCTTTACACATTTTTAAACGAGTATTACGTAACCAAACAGGTAGACAGCTTATTTTTATCCAAAAATTAGAAAACAAATCTGAAAAATATGGACACCTCAGAAATGAAGGCTTTTAAAGTTATACCCTCTAACTTGTCAGATGGTGGGACGTTTGTCTATCATAGACCACATAAGATGACAAAGTCTTAGGGTGTGGCTGACAGGATAGAATACATCTGACAAGTGTAATCATGTGCACAGGGACATTTCTTTTCACTCCACCCAGAATGCTGAGACATAAAGAACACAATATGGACCTATACTGACCAGATGTAAACCCATCAAATAATCAAGGATGGCGATGATCTGCATTTATTTTGATTTTTTGTACATCGCGTTGACTGACAGACGAAAGCCTGTTGACCACAGCTCACAATGGTTCACGTTCCTTCAGAGACATGCATGAGCGTCAAGCATACAAGGGTATAAGGATCTATATCGAAACGTCGCCTTTAAAGTAAATAAAGAAGTCCATAAATTGTCTCTACTTTGTTTCTGAAACGTTGGGGCGGTCAGGTAGCCTAGTGGTTAAAGCGTTCGCTCATCACGCCGAAGACCCGGGTTCGATTCCCGACATGGGTACAATGTGTGAAGCCCATTTCTGGTGTCCCCCGCCGTGATATTGCTGGAATATTGCTAAAAGCGGCGTAAAATCTCACTCACTCACTCACTCACTCTGAAACGTTGAGAAATGTAAAAAACAAAAGCGTTTTGTTGCTCTTATTTAGATTGCTACAGATCAGTTAGACTGTAAATATACAACATTTTATATATTTAGGTACGATTTGGTTACTTTCAGCAATTTTGCACTGTTCTGCACCTGATTCACATTCATAAGTCCAAACACGTTCATAAGCATCCCCTCTTTCAGTTAACTCAAATGATTGCCATCGAGCCCCGACGAAAGAAGTTTCTTCTGCTTCTGGGTGTTGCCATAGTAACAACTGCGTACCTATCGTGGCCATACAGGTAAATATAGTATATATGTATTGAGTCGTTACTGTTGCAGCCAATTTCTAATTTTAGAATATTTGATAAAGAAGGCAACATTTCCGTCATTTCCCTTATTCACTCTGTCACGACACTTGTTTCCTGATTCACTCCGTCACGATACTTGTTGCCTCATTCACTCTGTCACGATACTTGTTTCCTGATTCACTCCGTCACAATACTTGCCTCCTAACTCACTCTGTCACAATACTTGTTTCCTGATTCACTCTATCACGACACTTGTTGCCTGATTCACTGTCACGATACTTGTTGCCTGATTCACTCTGTCACAATACTTGTTTCCTGATTCACTCCGTCACGATACTTGTTTCCTGATTCACTCTGTCACGATACTTGTTTCCTGATTCACTCTGTCACGATACTTGTTTCCTGATTCACTCCGTCACAATACTTGCCTCCTAACTCACTCTGTCACGATACTTGTTTCCTGATTCACTCCGTCACGATACTTGTTTCCTGATTTACTCCGTCACAATACTTGCCTCCTAACTCACTCTGTCACAATACTTGTTTCCTGATTCACTCCGTCACGATACTTGTTTCCTGATTGACTCCGTCACAATACTTGCCTCCTAACTCACTCTGTCACGATACTTGTTTCCTGTTCACTCTGTCACGATACTTGTTGCCTGATTCACTCTGTTAAAATACAAATTTCCTGATTCACTCTGTCACGATACTTGTTGCCTGATTCACTGTCACGATACTTGTTGCCTCATTCACTCTGTCACAATACTTGTTTCCTGATTCACTCCGTCACGATACTTGTTTCCTGATTCACTCCGTCACAATACTTGCCTCCTAACTCACTCTGTCACAATACTTGTTTCCTGATTCACTCCGTCACGATACTTGTTGCCTGATTCACTGTCACGATACTTGTTGCCTGATTCACTCTGTCACAATACTTGTTTCCTGATTCACTCCGTCACGATACTTGTTTCCTGATTCACTCCGTCACAATACTTGCCTCCTAACTCACTATGTCACGATACTTGTTTCCTGTTCACTCTGTCACGATACTTGTTGCCTGATTCACTCTGTTAAAATACAAATTTCCTGATTCACTGTCACCATACTTGTTGCCTGATTCACTCTGTCACGATACTTGTTGCCTGATTCGCTCTGTCACGATACTTATTGCCTGATTCACTGTCACAATACTTGTTGCCTGATTCACTCTGTCACGATACTTTTGCCTGATTCACTCTATCACAATACTTGTTGCCTGATTCACTCTGTCACGATACTTGTTGCCTGATTCACTCTGTCACAATACTTCTTGCTTGATTCACCCTGTCACGATATAAATTTTCTGATTCACTCTGTTAAAATACATATTTCCTGATTCACTCTGTCACGATACTTCTTGCCTGATTCACCCTGTCACGATACAAATTTCCTGATTCACTCCGTCACGATACTTGTTGCCTGAGTCACTCTGTCACGATACTTGTTGCCTGAGTCACTCTGTCACGATACTTGTTGCCTGATTCGCTCTGTCACGATACTTGCTGCCTAACTCACTCTATCACGATACTTGTTGCCTGATTCACTCTGTCAAGATGCAAATTCGTGATTCACTCTGGCAAGATACATATTTCGTGATTCACTCTGTCAAGATACATATTTCCTGATTCACTGTCACGATACTTGTTGCCTGATTCACTCTGTCAAGATCATATTTCCTGATTCACTCTGACAAGATACATATTTCGTGATTCACTCTGTCAAGATACATATTTTCTGATTCACTGTCACGATACGTGTTGCCTGATTCACTCTGTCAAGATCATATTTCCTGATTCACTCTGGCAAGATACATATTTCCTGATTCACTGTCACGATACTTGTTGCTTGATTCCCTCTGTCAAGATACATATTTCCTGATTCACTGTCACGATACTTGTTGCCTAATTCCCTCTGTCAAGATCATATTTCCTGATTCACTCTGGCAAGATACATATTTCCTGATTCACTCTGTCAAGATACATATTTCCTGATTCAATGTCACGATACTTGTTGCCTGATTCACTCTGTCAAGATCATATTTCCTGATTCACTCTGGCAAGATACACATTTCGTGATTCCCTCTGTCAAGATCATATTTCCTGATTCACTGTCACGATACTTGTTGCTTGATTCCCTCTGTCAAGATATATATTTCCTGATTCACTCTGTCACGATACTTGTTGCCTGATTCACTCTGTTAAAATACAAATTTCCTGATTCACTCTGTCACAATACTTCTTGCCTGATTCGAAAATTTCTGATTCACTCTGTTTAGATACAAATTCCCTGATTCACTGTAACGATACTTGTTGCCTGATTCACACTATCACCATACTTGTTGCCTAATTCACTCTATCACAATACTTGCTGCCTAACTCACTCTATCACGATACTTGTTGCCTGATTCACTGTCAAGATCCAAATTTCGTGATTCACTCTGGCAAGATACATATCCCTTTATGATCTTTAAAGTTTTCATTGTAGAAGTTACTTTAAAACTTTAGTTTACAATAAATTTCGGTTTCCTTCTCGTAATATACTCAACAACATAAGTTCCTGTGACACCAATATTTTAGTGTATTTTTCAAACAAGTAAAGTATGGTTTTCAATATTTTTATATGTATGGAATCAAGTCACAAAAACGCAACTGCTACAGAAAAGCATTCACTCCATGCAAAAGTTGACTTTTATGCAAGCCCCATGCATTTCACTACCCAAGAATGGGTATAAAAACATGTGTGGTTCATGGTGCGGGTGTGGAGGGTGTGGTTGTGAGTTAGGTGCGGGTGTGGATGGTGTGGTTGTGGGTGTGGGTGTGGGTGCGGGTCTGTATGGTTTGCTTGTTGAAGCGGGTGTGGATGCTGTGCTTGTGGGTGCGGGTGGGATTGGTGTGCTTGTGGGTGCGGGTGAGAATGGTGCGGGTGTGTATGGTGTGCGTGTGCGGGTGTGGATGCTGTGTTTATGGGTGCAGGTGTGGATGTTGTGGGTGCGGCTGTGAATGGTGTGCTTGTCGATGTGGGTGCGGGTGTGGACGGTGTGCTTGTGGGTGCGGCTGTTCTATGGTGTGCTTGTGGGTGCGGGTGCCGGTGAGGATAGTGTGGTCCTGGGTGCAGGTGCGGGTGTTGATGGTGTGTTTGTGGGTGCTGGTGCTGATTTTTTGTGTTTTGTTGTTTTGGGGGGTGGGGGGAGGGGTTGGTCTCTTCTCAGAAATGTGCTCTTCATATGTGTGTGCAATTTTGGGTCGGCAAAATTGTTGGTTAGTAACAATAATAAAACTCCCTGTTGCTTTGGTTTCAGTGTGTTGAATGAAGAAACGAGTCAGCATGCTTCAGGATCTATGTCACGTTTATCGTTGATTGGTGTAAAAAATACATATGAGCTTGATGAAACGGTCAAAGTAAACATTGTTCTATTCGACCACTACAAGAGACCAAAAATACGTGGAGGTGACATGTTAGTCGTGTGGATGAAAGATCCCCAACATGGCGCTGCTTCCGCCGGAACTGTTATCGACCACGGGAATGGAACGTATACTGGAGTTCTGCGCACCTTGTGGACAGGAAGAGCCATCATTCGGGCAGCTATGATTTCATCCAGAGAACGAATGGCGCACATATATCGCTCATTCCAGAATGGATATTTTGGGAGAAACATTGCCTGTACATTCATATCAAATACTGCAACTGAAACCACAAGTGGATATATGGATATGAGATATGTGAAAAAACGCCCTTTTTGTAATCTGACTGCCGACTATTTTGGCGTCCCATTCTACTGTGAGAAACCAAACACAAAGGGGATTAGGTGTCATGACTGGACTGAAACCGATTCACCTAACACCTATATGACCTTTGGAGCTGACACGAGATGGTTTGAAGTGTAAGTATTCTCATACTTATTCGATCCATGACCCTCTACAGTTTGGTTGTCGGATCGTATAATAATTAAATCTTAGAATCGACATAAGAAGCGTTTAAAGTTCTAATTATATATTATTGGACCATCGTCAGTAGGGTTTGGGAAACGAAAGTAATTAACGGGTTTGAGTTTCGCTCCTGTGAGTATCTAGGGCTTCGGTCCTGCCCGACACTGAATCACAAATAAGCACATGGCGTGTCTCCTTGGCAAGTGACTTCGTTCTTGAAATGCCTCTCTTTACCTAGCAGTGACTGGGTGCCCGGAACGATGAGACGGTTATGTGACTATTTACCTCATAGCGCAGCACAGGCAGCTTGGGTTATTTACTCCCAAGGTGGTGATGTGAGGTGAAATGGGGTTTAACGTCGCGTCCAAGATTATTGCACTTATATAGCGACGTGCATGTACGTGTGTGTGTTTGTGTGGCTGCTTGTACTAGTCCGGACTGATGCCGATTTATAGTGCTAGCTCACTGAGATACCATGCCGCTGTTTAACATGAATACCCCACTCAGACACAGTATACTGACTCCGAGCCGACCAGTCCTTGTTTTAGCCCCTTTATGCCGAGCGCCAGACAGGGTAACAACAAGTGCCATCTTTTAACGCCTTTTGGTATGACGCGGTCGGGGATCGAACCCCGGACTTTCCGCTCTCCGGGCGGACGCTCTACCACAAGACCATGGAGGCGGTCTACTCCCCAAGGAGCTGAGAATGAACTCGAATAATGTAGCGCTGTTGACTAGGTGAATGGACTTTGGCGCATTATAAGTGGATATTTTTTTCTCTGTCACAGACCTCAGAGTAAATAGTTGATATAGCATTCACCAGCTCCAGCAGCCCATACTCATCCCCTTTTCAGATGACTTGATGTCCCTTAATCCTTGAGAGTTCCTTCATAGATTTATTTTTATATAACTTTATACATATATTTATTCAATTACTAAATGTCAGTCCACTTAATTACGGCTATAGATGGTTTCGTAAGTGACAGATATAGGAGTGAATGTCAGTAAGGCTTAAATGTGCAGTGGCAGCGCAACGGAATCCAACCACCCAATTACTGGTTCAACGTGGATTGCACGCTACGTGGTTGTTGATCCCCAGAGAGCGGAAGGTCATTGGTTCGAACCCCTTGACCGTGTTTGTACCAAAAGACGTTAAAATATGTCACTTGTTCTTACCCTGCCTGCTGCTTTGCATTAACGCGATGAAACGCGATCGGCACGGATCTCCATAATAATGTTTCTGAGTGGGGTATCCTTGTTAAATTGCGGCACTACAAGACCAGACACACACACACACACACACACACACACACACACACACACCTCGCACGCACGCACACAAACACGCACGCACACACTTACACACACGCACGCAAACACACACGCACGCACGCACGCACACACTTACACACATACACTAACAAACACACGCACACACACCCACACGCACTCACATACAAACACACGCACGCACGCACACACTTATACACTCAAACACGGGCACGCACGCACACACATACACACGCACGCACACAAATACACACACACAAACACACGCCCCCACGCACACACACACATGCCGCTAAATTTGCGCAGTAATCTTGAACATAACGTTAAAACCCATTTACCCTTATCTGATGGTTGAACATAACAGCTCAATGTGTTTCAGATGGACTTCTACAGAGTACCTGTTGGACTCTACCACAATACATATATCGTCCAACAGACACGGTATGTGTACATTTATCATTCCACAAAACTGGTATGTAAAATACACTCTTCAAAAAAAGAAACTCATAGGTGTTTTGAGAATTCCAATTCGATTTTTTTCCCCAGCAATCGTCATAAAGACAATTCTTATGTTTGATTCCCGTTAATAATGTCATGTTTGTTGTGCATTGCGTGCAAGCACACCTCAAAATGTGTTTTTTTTGTATACGTTTATCAGCAAAAATGCAAAGGATGCAAGGAAATTGCTTTCAGAAAAAGTTTCAGCACAATGCACGTGCAAAGTGTTGGAAACAAGAGACACTGACTATAAAAGACCGTACAAAATTCATCAGTTCATTAATTTTCTGACGTGAACGGAGATCGAAAAATGCCAAGATTAACTGCAGCTGACCGAAATATCGCCATTGGACGTTTAGAAGCAGGGGAATCCCAGTCTGCCGTTGCAAAGCACTTCAACGTTCACCAAAGCACCATATCTCGACTAGGGGATTGATATACCCGCACTAATTAGACTCAAGATCATCCCAGAAGTGGAAGACCAAGAGTGACCACCCCTGCTCAGGATCGGTACATCGGGTTGCATCACCTTCGGAATCAATAGATCAAATTCTGCGTCCTCACCTCCTCCCAACTTTGGACCGCCAGAGGGAGCTGTTCCAACATGACAACGCTGGCACAACTCGCCAACGCCTTACAGGAGGAATGGCGAAGAATTCCACACGAAACAAATCCGACGACTTGTGCAATCTGTGCCAAGGAGGTGTCGAGCAGTGATGGCTGCAAGATGTGGTGTGACCAGGTACTGACCATGACGCCCCCTTGTGGCTACACATGTGCAATGACTAAACTGAATTAATGCTGACAATGACGACAATGCTTTTGTCGATCACTGTGTTTAATTTCATTTAATTGTGTTCACGCATATACTGTGTAGATACTTTTACATCCGCTTAACAAATATCCTTATTTTTTAACTATGCGTTTCTTTTTTTGAAGAGTGTACATATATCAGTTATAACAATTATCACCGGAGACTCGTCTTAAACATTTCGTTTGTTGATGGTCCATCAGTCCACTGGTCAAGTCCTGTGTCGTCCTTTTCATCACCGTGGTGGTGTCGCCAGGCCCACGGTGGCCGTACTGTTTTTTCAGGTGAACAATTCACTTGCCTTTGCATGTGCGGTGGGGCTGGACCCGCTCACCTTTTCGCAAACACCTTGTATCAAGACTATTTGATAGTGATTCATAAACACATGCTCCCGATATGGTTTGAATCGTACAATCGACTCTGTTTTGGACAGAGATTTCTTATGAATATGGAAAGGGTTTTGTCGCTGTTAAATATTATTTTTGAAAATAAGTGAATTATCTACAAATAATAATCTAATCTTAAGTAATAATCTTAAGAAGTGTTTATTCCAAGATTGCTAGCCCAATGGAATCTCTGTAATCAGTTATTCACTGCCGTTAACGTTTAATGTTAACTATGCTATGCACGCTTTCTGAAACAGGCCAATTTATGAAACGTTTGAAAGTTTCTATTTTGTTTCTGTTTAATGACAAGCTGATCATATCTCTTTCAAATAAAAAGTTTATTATTATTTCAATATTGTATATTCTACATACATTCATTAATGTTTCTTTGGTTCTAAGTACTTTCGGGTTTTTTTTACAGAGAAAGAACTCACAGTGTCTCCCTCCATCCCTTGTGGCCGGAGGAACTTCCGGGATACTTGGTTGGCAACGCCACCTGTCGGCTACTCCTACAACAACACGTGGCGTCCTCTATCGTGTTGGAACAGCGTCCCCGTTGACACGTACAATCAATGCCTGGCCAACAGAACTCTTAGCTTGTTTGGCGACTCCACCGTAAGACAAATGTTTGGAGGTCTTTATTCGATGCTGGGTTTCACTATCACAAGAGGTCCACCGGAGGGTAAAAGAAGCAGGAAAAGAAACTTTTACCAAGGTCCAACAGTGTGTGAGGCACACCACAGCAAATATAACTATACAGTACATCTGCTCCCTCATGGGTTGCCAATGTGGTTTTACAAAAGTAACAGAACAATCACTCGGCCAGTGTTTGCTCACTTAGACGCCATACCTCCTGGATCAACAGATATAATACTTATTCATATGTATGCGCATTTCCATTTCACCCCCATCCACATCTACAGAGATCGTGTCCACAGAACTAGACTTGCCATAGAAAACCTACTTAAACGATCTCCTGGTGTCACAATTGCCATCAAAGGTCCGCATAAATTTTCCGTACCCAAACCAATAACACCCCTTGGGGGTATGTGGGGACCTGCTTATGAAAACATCCTTAAAAGGGAGTTTGTAAATCTTTATGACCGGGTGCTGTATCTCGACGTCTGGGACATGACAGTTGCATTTGAAAATGAAGAGACGCACCCTCATGCTTTCCTGGTTAACATAATGCTCAACGTGTTTTTAGGCTATATATGTGGGAAATAAACACGTATATGTAATTTAATTAGTATTTTATCCTTAAAAAATAAAAATTGATAGAACTCAAATTTTTTATTCATTTTGTATTTGGGGGCACGGGTGGACCAGTCGTCTAAGACGCCGCGATTCGCTGTGCAGAGTTGTGTCCTATGATTGTGGGTGCGAATCCCGGTTCGCCCCGATTATGTTTCTAGGTTTGTCAGCACCATACTCGTGCTTGTGGGTTTCACCGAAGTGGTAAACGTCTGAGACCTGCATCACTTCGGGCTTTCCTCCCACATTAAGCTGACACGCCGCGATATAACTGGAATACTGTTAAAAGCGGCGTTAAACCCAACTCACTCACTCACTCATTTTGTATTTTTCAGAGTACTGCGGGCAATAAACTGATTAATTCACCTTCATTTCAATTGAAATCCGATGTATATATTATGCCACCCCTTTAACTGTGGACTAAGTACGGTGTCGCTCAAGATGCTATGCTGCTAGGTTTTCATTTAAAGATACAGACCACTATTCGGGAGAGGGGTGGTGTGTTTGCGTAAAAGGAAGAAATGTATTTAATATTTGTATTTAGGCTTTGTATGAATCAGTTATAACAGTTATCTCTTGAAACTCGTCTTAGTCATTTGGTTTGGCGAAAGGTTCCTCAGTCCATCAGTACATCAGTCCATTAGTCGGTCTCCTCCCATTAGTAAGACAGCCCAGTTGTGAGACACCTTAAAACAACAATGTCATACCTGGTTGCACATGATAATCAGGTAATTAACCCCTATCATGAAAATGGACTTGTCTTATTATAGACAAAAGAAATGACTCAAGATGCTTGATACACTCTTTTACATTATTTCATTCAACATTTTAATTCATCCATCCCTTAAATCCATTGTTTTAACATATTCGCCACTTAGAGTTCAGTTAAAGTTAATATCACAGTTCACATCACAGTTCACATCGAGGTTGTCACACTGACACAACCTCAATCCATCTTCAGAAGTTTGCCAACAGCATCCAAGAACTGGAGTGGTGTCTTGACACCCTGGGATAGCTGATTGTCAATCTCCTTGTACACACGCTTTCTTGCTGGTGGAGCTGCACCTAGGTCTAACTGAGATAGCTTGGTCTTCTCAGATTTCTCAATCTTCTTGATGATCTCGATGAAGCCCACTCCTGGTTTATAACTGATGAATTTTAAAAGTTGTTGAGAGTTCTACTGTTTAGTCTTTTAGTTATCCATCTTTACTCTGTTTTTTTCTTCCCCTAACAAGTAAACGAAATAGTCTCCCATGGCACATACATTTAACTTTGTCCTTTAAGAGGTGAGGTGAGGTGAAATTGGGTTTAACGTCGCGTCCAAGATTATTGCACTTATATAGCGACGTGCATGCACGTGTGTGTGTGTGTGTGTGTGTGTGTGTGTGTGTGTGTGTGTGGCTGCTTGTACTAGTCCGTACTGATGCCGATTTCTAGTGCTAGCTCACTGAGATACCATGCCGCAGTTTAACACGAATACCCCACTCAGACACAGCATACTGACTCTGAGCCGACCAGTCCTTGTTTTAGCCCCTTAATGCCGAACGCCAGACAGGGTAACAACAAGTACCATCTTTTAACGTCTTTTGGTATGGCGCGGACCCCGGACCTTCCGCTCTCCGGGCGGACGCTCTACCACTAGACCACGGAGGCGGTCTTGTCCTTTAGGAACACTGTACTGTACAGTACATATTGTATTCGGTAATCAGAAGAAACGAATGTATTATTAAAGTTCGCTGGGTGCTAAAAGGAATGTTTAAAACACGGATATTACCTAATGCGAAACCGTATGATAGTTTACCGTAGCCACTTAAACACAATATGGGACAGAAACGGACGACTTAACGTTGAAGTCAAGGCTGTCATAAAGTGAGTGAGTATGGTTTTACACCGCTTTTAGCAATATTCCAGCAATATCACGGCGGGGGACACCAGAAATGGGCTTCGCACATTGTACCCATGTCGGGAATCGAACCCGGGTCTTCGGCGTGACGAGCTTTAACCACTAGGCTACCCGGCCGCCCCGCTTGTGGTAAAAGGCGACTAACGGGTGCGGATGGTCCGGTTTGACTTGGTTGATGCATGTCATCGCATCCCAATTGCGTAGATCGATGCTCATGATGCCAATCACTGTCATAAAGATTCCTTAAAGGTAAAACGGATGTGATCAGTAGGGCGAGTGTGAGACACCTTACTGCGATTTTAAAGTCTCATTCATCTAAAATTGTTCTTCGAATGTTTCTGGTATAAAATAATCAAAATGTCATTACCTTTTCTATGATATGTCCCCATCAACTAATCTAAAATTGGGTTGTTTGTTTGGCTGTTTTGTTGTTTTACGCCGCACTCAACAAAATTCCAGATATATGACGGTGGCCTGTAAATAATCGAGTCTGGACCAGACAATCCAGTGATTGATATCATGATCAACGATCCACGCAGTTGGGATACGATGACATGTATCAACCAAGTCAGCGAGCCGGACCACTTGATCCCGTTATCGCCTCTTACGACAAGCATGGGTTGCTGAAGACCTATTCTACCCCGGCTCAAACTGGTTACTTAATTGTTCTGATTTTAACACTAGAGTATAACATTTTTTGGTGAAATATTAGGAAATTCAAAGTGTTAACGCCAGACAATGGTTATTCACAAATATCTGTCGAAACAGATTCCATTGAGCGTAAAAGGTAAAAGGATGATAGATTCATGAATAGATCACTGAAACTCAATGTTGAGTCCAGGTGTTCGTGAAATTAGTAAGCATGCCCTGATTTACCGGTGGCACCCGCCAATCACACATTTTTTATATATTAATAACGAAAGTGAAAAGTCAAAGATATTCAACTTTCTTCAATTACGGTGTCCGCGCCTATCAGATAGGGATGGTACCAGATATTCGTCAAAAGGTGAGCGTATCCTGCCCCACCAGTGGCATCCGTCACAAACACATGCAAAGGCAAGTAAACTGTTCGCCTGAAAAAAAACCACCATGGAAACATATGGTACAAGTTGAAATAAGGAATTGCAAGGGACAACATTTTGTCAGAGATGCGATAAATTTGTCATCCAGATGTCACAAAACAAAACTAAGTTCATGAAAGTTGCAACTTGATCAAACATCTTTGAAATCTTCGTAGAAATAGCAAGCTCGATTATACCTCAAAGGTTGTGAAGTGTAGACACCAATGGCTGGCGCTGCTGGAATATAAAGGAAAGTTGACTATTGGAAAATTTAAGTCATACAGATAGAGGTTTGTTATTCTGAATCTTTATACAAAATCTAAATACGAAACAGATAAGACTGTTCTCTTTTATGTCCAGTTCAGGATGGTTAATCAGTTGAAGGGATTGGAAGCTTGACCACCCTGCACGATATCAGATCATCACATACCTGAAGCTTAATTTATATATCTTCGCCAAATTGCCTTCCTTTGATTTTGCAAATTCAATGCAAAATTATATAAACAGAAACAGATCAGCAGCAAGAGGAGCACAATTGGTGTCCATGGGGATGCCTACGCCTTGTCTGAATCTCCTATCCACTAGATGTTGTCAATGGTGAAGTCCTGCATTTCACAGATTGTTTCTCAGTAAGCTTCAGAGGACATTTCATTTCTGACCTACTGTCGTTGACGTCTGAAAGTAGAGATGAGATGTACCTATATCTATTGTCACCACGTTTAGTGACAAAATGTCCAATGGATCAAGGAATGAAGTTTGTTTTGACAGAACAGAACTTGGTTCTCTTCTGAGATTGCAAAATATACAGCAAGTCATTAAGTTTTTGAGAAACCACATGGTAATAATTCCACTTATAATTCCGTAATAATTCAAATACATTCCGTGAATAATCACTTGATTGCAATGAGGATTATGGTACATTTGCTAGACCCAGCAATGTCTCTCTCTTTGAACGGATGATTTTTGGAGCTTTGGAATCCTGTACAAGAGAGGAATGGACACGTCGTCAGGTTGGCAGATTTTTTCCTCAGTTTTTCTCGGTATAAATGTATTATCGGCGTACTTAATGAGAAACGTGATGGTATTTAACATTCTACGACCATTGTTCTTGAAACAATTATGGGACTGGGATTAATCAAAACGTGATATTGCGTTTTAGGACTTCTCATTCCTGTGCTATTAGGTAAGTAGACAAAAGCAGCTGTGATGTGTGTACGTAAAGCTGATCCGATGCATGTGTATTCCGTAATTATTCAAATACATTCCGTGAATAATCACTTGATTGCAATGAGGATTATTGTACATTTGCTTCACCCATCTCTCTCTTTGAACGGATGATTTTTGGATTTTGGAATCAAAAGAGGAATGGACACGTGGTCAGGTTGGCAGATTTTTTCTTCAGTTCTGACCTTATATGTGGCATTATTTGATGTGTCACTTGTATCAAGTTCTCGGATAAAACATTATTTTGACCATGTTGTTCGTTTGCTATACCTACATGTAGAGATTCTCTAAGCCTGCATGCATATATTCGAAATAGCTTAACGCCATTTAATCATGAACTTGACTGCAAACTCAAGAAATATCTTGAATGGATATTGTATCTCTTATGATTTCACTGACTGTGTATGATTTTACGCCGCTTTTAGCAATATCCCAGCAATATCACGGCGGGGGACACCAGAAATGGGCTTCGCACATTGCACCCATGTCGGGAATCAAACCCGGCTTCTGCGTGATGAGCGAACGCTTTAACCACTAGACTACCCGACCGCCCCCTTATGATTTCAAGTACTGACACACCAAACATATGTTTTGGCAATCATCAAATGGTGTATCTACATCTGTTATTATGCCAAATGTACTCACGATTGTAATACAGTCATTGTTACTGGAGCTGCATTAATATAACATGTTTTGCTTGTTTACAAATCCAGTTATTACCTGAAAATAAATAACTTTAATCGTGAAGAAAGCCAGGTGGAACCGCCCTAGTACGCTCACGAAGCTATGTCAGTAGTATGCAGGCATGATGGGTTCTAATCAGAAGAAATGTATACCCAGTGACAGGACTAGACACACAATGCGATCAGGCGAGGAGGCATTCGGCTCACTGGCTACATGTCTTCACGATACGACCTTACAGAGCGATCAGACTGGGTAACATATCTTATCATAGACTCCATCGTCAGCCGTTGATCTTTTCTGCTGTGAGGGCTCGGATCTATTTGGTAAACCCAACCCCAGGGAGTTTTACCATGGTTACATTTGTTAAGATCGTAGGCTTGCGGAGTGTACCTTGTCCAGGTTTGGGATTACACATTTATTGAAGCATATCAACACGGAACTTTATATATTAATAAAGTCCAGAGCAGTTTACACTTCAAAAATAAAACAAGTACTAATGCCGTCTTATCAGGGCAATACATTAAGGAGCGTTACATTCAAATGCTCTCAGTCTGGTATCCATTTCCACTCTATGTTTATCCATTGTAACGGGTGCATTGCATCATAAAACTGATACAGTGCCTCTTTGACAATAGGGTAATGATTAACTGCAAAATTGATAGTTGTCGAGGTATTTTATATTACGAAAAGAAACTGTTTTCATGTCCGTTTTTAAAACTTCTAATATGCCGCTTGATTCCCTTTAAATATTATATTGAAACTATTTGGATCCAGTCATATCTTCTGGCCGTTGGTCAAATCAGATATAAAGTGAGCCAGGTCTACAAAAGGATCAACTTAAAATGAACTGCTTTTCTAAAGTAAATAGCGTGACAATTCGTCAGGGCAGGTTTATGACCCAGCCGCCGTGTCAAATTCATCAGGCTGGTGCATGTACATAATAAGTCATGTAGCTAATGCCTCACGAGTCAGTCAAGCGAGGTAATTCTCTACCGACAAGCCAATCATAGTGTGTTGTTTATCTTACCGTTGCTACTAACAAGCTACAGTTGGGGCCTGGGCACATATATAAACCCTGTATTCTTTCTGGCAAGCACGCACTGGGTTTCTACCTTGAGAACATCCTACACAAGATTTCACCCCCACCCAACAACAACCATGAGGGAAATCGTCCACATCCAAGCTGGCCAGTGCGGCAACCAGATCGGCGCCAAGGTGAACTTCTTTCTCTTATTGTTTTAGTTTATTTTTTAAAACAATTCAAAACAATATGCTTATGCTTTTATTTCTCACTTGTCGTATACTTGACATACTGTTAAAGTTACATCATGTAAGGCCAGGACGGTAATCAGGGGAATTTCTTTTTCAGAACGTTTTTGCTATACGCGCAGGATGTAGCCAAAACGCAAGATAGGCTTTTAATATGAATTCTATATATATCACAATATTATTAACAATGAGCAAGGTTTCAAAGACGACCACAATCATGCTATCTAATATTCGTTTCTTGTATGGATTTCTTGCGTGTGTATCTTACGAGCATATCTCCCCTTTTCAGTTCTGGGAGGTGATCTCCGACGAGCACGGCATTGACCCCACCGGCACCTACCACGGTGACTCCGACCTTCAGTTGGAAAGAATCAATGTCTACTACAACGAGGCTACAGGTGAGGAGAGGGAAATAGTAGATTATACATCTGCACAATTCAACCGGCGATGAAAGTACAGATCATACAATATTATTTATGACCTTCATGTTTAGAAATACAGAGACAGAATGGATGAGCTGCGGACGGCAACGAATATTAATAATAATAATAATAATAATAATAATAATATTAATATTCACTATAATAAATGTTCACTATAAAGAAAAAGAAACAACTCAACAAAATTCATATTAAGAACGTGTTCATAATATAACATTGACAAAGACACCACAGAACACACCCGATCCCGTCACAATAGCAAGAGACTTTATAACAAACCAACATTAACTAAATGTAGTCCTTTGTACAACGCCATTCAGTTAACAACAGCGTAAGCTTAGTCACGCCACTGAAACAGCCACAGTGGGTAAAGAGGCTAAACGCATGTGTGGCATTGACTACTTATTATTAGTGCTTCAAACTGTTGTATTCCAGCATGGTCTAGTGAATCTTTTGTTGTTTGAGAGCTTAGTTTCAACAAGCTCTACATAAGGACCGCATCATGTTCAATACTTGCCTGTTCATGTGTGCTTACCGGTCAATAATCGGGATAGTTTGTCAGAGATTTTATGTGTGCGTGTTCACCTATTGTAACGGCGTTCTGCTATATAGAGTTACAACGCTTGGCTCATATACCCACAGTGAGATGCAGGGTGCCAAGTCTATGGCTTAGATATTCATCAGAGGTGAAGGATATTACTTACAAGTGTGTATTAGTCAACTTAACTTGCGTAATCGAATTTCGACTATGAAGAATTATTTTAATTTTAAAATTATTTTTTCAACACATTTTCTGAAATTAAGTTATTTCAATTTTGTCCGAATGACAATGACAGGTATTTACAATGTATCTTTTGTTATTCCAGGAGGCAAGTATGTCCCCCGTGCCGTGCTGGTCGACCTGGAGCCAGGCACCATGGATTCTGTCCGATCTGGTCCCTTCGGACAGATCTTCCGTCCAGACAACTTCGTCTTCGGTCAGAGCGGTGCTGGCAACAACTGGGCCAAGGGTCACTACACAGAAGGCGCCGAGCTGGTAGACTCCGTGCTGGATGTTGTTCGCAAAGAGGCAGAGAGCTGTGACTGTTTACAAGGCTTCCAACTGACCCACTCTCTGGGTGGTGGCACTGGGTCTGGCATGGGCACACTCCTCATCAGTAAGATCAGGGAGGAGTACCCCGACAGAATCATGAACACTTTCTCCGTTGTACCATCACCGAAGGTGTCCGACACAGTCGTCGAGCCCTACAACGCCACCCTGTCAGTCCATCAGTTGGTTGAGAACACAGATGAAAGTTACTGTATCGACAACGAGGCTCTGTACGACATCTGCTTCAGAACCTTGAAGCTGACCACACCCACCTACGGTGACCTCAACCATCTTGTATCAGCCACCATGTCCGGAGTGACCACTTGTCTGAGGTTCCCTGGTCAACTGAACGCCGATCTTCGTAAATTGGCTGTCAACATGGTGCCCTTCCCCCGTCTTCACTTCTTCATGCCCGGCTTCGCACCCCTCACCTCAAGAGGAAGCCAACAGTACCGTGCACTCACCGTGCCCGAGCTCACCCAGCAGATGTTTGATGCCAAGAACATGATGGCTGCCTGTGATCCCCGTCACGGTCGCTACCTGACAGTGGCTGCCATGTTCCGTGGCCGCATGTCCATGAAGGAGGTTGATGAACAGATGCTCAACGTCCAGAACAAGAACAGCAGCTACTTCGTGGAATGGATCCCAAACAACGTCAAGACCGCCGTCTGTGACATCCCACCACGTGGTCTCAAGATGTCTTCAACCTTCATCGGCAACAGCACCGCCATCCAGGAGCTGTTCAAGCGCATCTCCGAGCAGTTCACAGCTATGTTCAGGAGAAAGGCTTTCCTCCATTGGTACACTGGCGAGGGCATGGACGAGATGGAGTTCACTGAGGCCGAGTCCAACATGAACGACTTGGTGTCCGAGTACCAGCAGTACCAGGATGCCACCGCCGAGGAAGAGGGCGAGTTCGGCGAGGAAGAGGGAGAAGAAGAGGCAGCATAAACATGTCACGTGATCTTACTGACCTTGACCAAAAAATGTTCTTCACAAGCAACTTGTATTCTTATTGATGTCAGATTTTGTTCATAACACAATCACAGTAGAGGCTTTGTTACTTTTGATACTATTTATATTTATTTGTTGTTTACAAACATCCATATATGACTGAATCTACTTACATTTACATATCTGAATCACGTCAAAAATAAAGTTGGCTTTGAAGTTTTAAAACAGCTGGTGTTCTTATTGGTATGCTTTCCTTGATGGAACGGTAGCGTAGCCATTTGGTTAAAGCGTTCGCTCGTCACGCCGAAAGCCCGGTTCGATTAACACAATGTGTGAAGAGCATTTTTGGTGTCCCCTGCCGTGATATTGCTGAAATATTGCTAAAATCCGCGAAAAGCCATACTCACATACTTCGTTGACACTGATGTAGTCTCGGGGCAAGGCGTTTTGTAGGCTTCGAAAATGTGCCACTGGTGACGAAAGCATTGCTGTTAAAGGGAGAAAATGGGGAAATGTTTTTGCGGTGGTAAGTATTACTCCTGCTATCCTGGTTATATGATAGCGACCTGTACATGGACCAGTGGTCGACAGCATGAGCAACGATACACGTCGTCTACACACACGACGAACCTCCAACAGCCAAGTCAGACATTCTACCACCACCACCTTCCCCCGATCCTCACAAGTAAGCGTAGATTATTCGGAGCATACTCTGGCCTAGAATCTCCAGCCTTAAAGTCTTGGTACAACTGAGCAAACAGCTAAGTTTATATAAAATACATCTGCTTCCTTGTGTGGATCGGTCTCATCCAGGATTAGCATGTAAGGTTCCTGTCACGCGTTACAACATGAAGTGACACGTGACTTAACATCAGGGCGTGTCAGCTTGATGTGGGAGGAAAGACCGAAGTGATGCAGCTCTTAGATATTTACAACTTAGACCAACAGCCCACGAGGACGGGCGAATCTGGGAGTCGAACCCACGATCGAATGACACGTCTAGGGGACGTAACTCAGCGAATTTGGGTTCCTTCATAGTGTCTTCGATTCCGCACTTCGAAAATGGCTGCCTAAACGCCAGTGGTCTCTTCAGTTTTCCTCACATCGCCCTTCATGTCTATCAGCAGATATTTTACTCACCGTTCCCACCATACTTTGCGAAATAAGACAGAGTTACGTCCCTTAGGCGTGCGAGAAACCTATGTCAGTATCATACCAATGCTCGCGCTGGCTTCACCAAAGTGCTATACGTCTTGGTAATGCGTCGCCTAGTCGCCATCCCACATCACACGCCATGATATACTGTTCAAAGCATCACTCACTGATTCATTCACATACAAACAGATGGTTTGACAAGATTGTTTCTGTCGTGGTAATTTGCTGTCAGACTACTTTTTCAGAAAATAAATGTTAAAGAACAAATAAATATCTTCCCACCAATGAACAATGGTTTTGTTCTTCTAAAATAAAAAATAAACCAAACAAATACGAATATGAGTACACAAAAAAATGAATAAACTCACCTGTATCCTGCACTGTATCTATAATGTCCTGCTGTCGGTTGTATTATTGTATTAATTGTATCGATTGAATTAAAAACAGTAGTGGTACTTTGGCATTATGTCATGATGCGTATCATGTCACAACACAGCATAACATTCACCTGGAAACAATCAGCATCACTCAGTAGATATTTTAATATCACATCCTGTATTAATTTATTGAGAAACCCATTTGTATGTGTGTGCAATGGGATATACTCAAATTGAAATTCAGAAACCGAAATCGATTTTCTAATGGGAAAGCCGAGTGGTTCAAGCGTCTCCTCGTCACGCCGAAAGCCGGGGTTCGATTCCTTACATGGGTACAATCTGTGAAGCCTGTTTCTAGTGGCCCCCGCCGAGTTATTGCTGGAATATTGCTGTAAGCGGCGTAAAGCCTCACTCACCCCATTTTGTACAATAGGATTTTCTCAAAATGCGACCAGTGTTTTCCACATGGAAGTTCAGGATAAATGAACGTATCAGAACGTGTGATGCTTACTTTGTTGAGGCTGAACAATCGAATGGTGAATACATGTGTGTTTCACGTCAAGGTATTGCATGAGGGTTTAATTGGGCCGAGACATTTAAACTGCGCTCCCCCGACCTCCTCCTCCCAACCCGACCCTACACACACATGCACGCACGCACGCAAGCACACACGCACGCACGCAAGCACACTGTTGCCAAACGGAGATACATATAAAGCGTTTCTCTCTGTTAGCAGCTGAATATTTGCACTTGTACACAGCAAAAGTAATTCAAATATTAACATATCGTTTTTTATTTCACCAAGTCAGTAAACGCGCTATCGTGTCACTGGATTTTCTGCCTCTGTCGTGCGGCGTTAGGCTACAAACAAATACCTCTGTACAAAATAATGTTCCCTTTTGAATTATAGCAGGTTGCGGAGAGAAGCGTATAACATTAGCTGTTTGGAGCTATTATTCCGACAATACAGGTTTAGAGAAACAATATAAAACAACTAAAATGATAACATGTTTATGGAAAGCTAGACCATATTACAGCAGATGGTAAAATATTTGACATAGCAAAATCATAATTAAAATAAAGTCTAAATGAAAAACAACACATTTTGTATCTATTTTTCAGTTGAGAGCTATTTATTTATTCAAGGTCAAAAACGTTTTGCGACTTCCAACAGTTCAGGTAATACGCTGGAGTTCTTTAAGGTGTCCTCTAACCAGTGTCTGTGTCCATGGGATGGTAAATGATGAGCGACTGTTTCGCTACTTCCCTTGCACGTGTTACCAAATGGTGAATATTGATGATGTTCGAGATGCGTGTTCCTCGAACTGAACGTTAATACGTCTGACACCGTGTATGTCCGTGTCAGTCACGATCCAGTTGAATCGTGAGTCACTGATTTTCATATCGCTGTGTAGCTAGTTGCAACTCCTTTTTAAAAGGCGATCTAATTTCATATAGTTTATCAAACACGTTCATTCATAGAACAGACAGCACCCGAAGCGGCAGCTGTTTGGAAGGCTTCAGTGTCCTTGTTACGTATAAAGCTATATGAGTTACGACTATCTTAGCGCTACAATATATCCAGTTCCACAAGGCAATCGCGAGGGCTGGTAAAAAAGTTTTACCGGTAAGCCTAACAAACAAAAACTACACTTGTGAAAGTGTTTTTTAATTATATTTTACAACATAATCTCCCTGCTTTTCAATACACTTCTCATATCGATAGTGAAGCCTTTTAATTCCAACCAGGAAGATGTTTTCTGGAACAACCCTGAAAAAAACATTCACGGCAGCTTTGAGGTCATCGTTGTCGTCATCGTTGTCGTCATAGCGCTTTCCACGAAGGTGTTCTTTCAGTTAAGGACACAGGTGGAAATCACTTGGTGCCAGGTCTGGCGAGTATGGAAGGTGAGGAAGCTCTTCGAACCCACATTGTCGCACAGCAGCCTTTGCAAGTCGAGAGGTGTGAGAAGAGGCTCATGTGTTACTCCAGCAGTCATCATTTCTCGCCGCTTTTCTTTGATAGAATCTCTCAGGCGATGAAGCAAATCAGCATAATAACCCGGTAATCGTCTTTTGACTTTCGGAGTAATCAACAAGGATCACACCCTTTGCATCCCAGAATACAGTGTGCTTTCTTCACTGATCTTGAAGACTTGAATTTCTTTGGTGCCGGAGAAGTGGAATGGTGCCATTCCATGACTTGATGTTATGACTCGGGACCATAGTGGTAGACTCATGTTTCATCGAAATCCTCCTCAATTCGCTCTAAGTTGTCTCTCTGGCACTGTCAGTTCTTTTTCCCTTAAGGTCAGAATTTAGAAACTTTGGCACCCGACGAGCAGATATCTTTTTCATCTGTAAACGTTCGTGAATAATAGTCTCAATGGATCTATGGCTAAGACCTGTGACTTCCTCATGTTCAGCAATGGTAATACGTCTATCTGACAGTATACGTTTTTTCTAAGTTTTTTTTTTCCATTTCTGTGTCCGTTTGGATCCATATCACGTTCAACTGGCTGTCACTAATCTACAAACGGCCTCAACGGACCAAATACACTTGCAATGAACTTCTAAAAACATGTACTACATTGACTAGTTCACTTTGTTATGGTCCATATTTGCGTGTTTGTCAGGCTCTGAACATTTTGTCCAGCCCTCGTATATTGCTGTGACGATCACACGTCTACCTTGAAGTATATGAGTTACGACTGTCTAAGCGCTACATTCTATCTACTTCCTCAAGGCAATTCTATTGTTACGACCGTTACAGGTCTACCTTGAAGTATATGGGTTATGACTGTCTTAACGCGACATTCTATCCACTTCCACAGGGCAATTCTACTGCTACGGCCGTCACACGTCTACCTTGAAGTATATGAGTTACGACTGTCTTAACGCGACATTCTATCCACTTCCACAGGGCAATTCTACTGCTACGGCCGTCACACGTCTACCTTGAAGTATATGAGTTACGACTGTCTTAGCGAAATATGCTGCCTGGTTGTGTATTTGGTTGAAATTTCAGCTGGTAAGAATGACCAGTATTTTACTTAATATATGCAAACTATACTGAACCAAATTAAAAACTTCACAACCCTAAAATTTTAACATTTTGGCCAGTTATCATTGTGGGCCCTTATTGTGTATTTAAACAGTAATGGCCACGTATTGTCTTCAGATAACACCCGTTTTTGTGCAGGTGAATCGATCAAAATCATGTGCACAGCACTATAGTGGCAAAAGTGGTTTTTCACGTGCAACTGGTCACGTGGCCATAATACCGCACGTGTTGTCAGCCATACTTGTTTGCAGTCATTAACAAAAAAAAGAAAAACACAAAAAAACAAAAGTCTTTACGGCCATTTGTCATGGATCGCCTTTCAAATGTGCAACGTGAACGTGCCATCGGCATGTTGCAGACGGGAACGTCCGTAGCTGAAGTCGCAAGGACGATGGGTTGTAGTCGACGTACTGTTTATGATTTAAAGACGCGTCTACAGCAAACGGGTACCACCGCTGATCGCCCTCGGCCAGGTCGACCACGTGTGACGTCACATGCAGCGGATAGTAAGATAAGCTAACGTCACCTCTGTAACCGATGTTTGACGGCTACATCAACCAGAAATGAACTGTTTAGGGGTAGACTGAGTGCGCAAACTGTTCGAAACCGTCTGAGAACTGCTCAGCTTC